GAGGGTGAAAGGGGGTTGGATGTATGAAGAAGGGTAAGAGAAAGGGGAAATGGATGTACAGTAAGGGAAGAACGGGTGAAGAAAGTGGGAGGGTAGTGAGGAGAAGGGGGAAGGGGACCGGTTGGGGGTAAGGAGGAGGTGGGTGGGAGATGAGAGAGTTGTAGGAGTAAGGAAGGGGGGAGGCGGCGGTCAGTTAGCTTAGACAGCAATCACTCACCATACACATGCCCCAGTTTACTGTAAACTCTTTTCTAACACTTGAGGGCTACTTGGTTGTTGTGATAATTAAGGCCTCCGGAATTTTCGGAATGCTCAGCACGTTTCCCGGTGCTGAAAGGGCAACGGGGAAGAAGCTAAGATAATATAAGCTGAGATGTCAACGTCATTTGATTAGTGTCTAGGTAATTTTGTTAAGTTTTGAGAAAATTAAAGAAAGAGAGAGCGTCCAACTCAGAAACATGTCAATGGCACTTCGCTACCCGAGAATAACAGTTTTATCTCCTCAGTACCTAGTTTTGAGAGATTTGTCGTTGAAAAATTTTGAGTTTCACAACATGTCAAGCTTTTTTTGAATGCAGGTCTTTGAATGTCTTGATAGCGATCCTTAATAAGCTTACCATTTTGATATAGCAGGTAGGACATTTGGTTTCTGACCTCATAGTCTTATCAGAGATGACTCCGGTCTTATGAAGTAACTCAAACGGCCAAAATGTCAAAGGGAATTTTATACTCTCTGTTTTTCGCAAACATTTTACAGCGTTTGCGATACAAATAGGTTATATAAATGCTGAGGATTAGTGGAGTTACAAGAGAGCAACATGCCGAGAAGAGAAGGAGGAGAGATAAGGACGATAGGTGTTTGATGAGAAAGACGGAGCAAACAGTTCCACAACACCTGCCAGCTATACCCTTGGTGTCTTTATTCGAATGATGGCCTTTTCTGGAGACTCTCAGAGAATCCTCATTCTTTTTGTTCTTGTTCTAGTTCTTGTTCTAGTTCTAGTTCTTGTTCTTGTTCTTGTTCTTCTTGTTCTTGTTCTTGTTCTTGTTCTTGTTCTTG